GCTAGTAGGATCTATATAGTAGGCTTATGTCAGCTAATAAGAGCGAACAAATATATAGATCAAATATGACATAACATGTTGTTCCATGATACAACAAAAATTACTAAATCAAACTAGATGTAGTGTGACGCAGCTTTTTAATAAGTTGATTGCAATATGAGACTACTTCAAAACATAATATTACTTATTTAATATACCATCATTACTCGTACTTTGATATAAAGCAATTAAATTAGATCAACATTTAAGGTCAAATATGATCTAATGTAGTAAAGACTTAGGGTTTCAGACATGGTTCAGACCCATATTGTTATAAATATACAATACGTCCCTACACTGTCTTTGCTGTTCTCGTTTACAGGTTGTATTTTCATTGCAATTTCAAGGGAACGTGGTGCTTCTCAGGGGTCTAGGTCCACCCAGGTCCGGCCCTGGCGGATTCTTTGCGAGCGTGCGCTCGCCGCAGGGATCGACTTTCTCACCTATGACCCTCCACAGAAGAGACGAGAATTCTTCGCTGCAGCATGCAGGAACATCAACTTTTTCACGCCGAGGCAGGGCCGAGGTCCATTGTGGACCTTGGCAGATGCTGACAGACATATGAGGGAATGCTATATATATATAATATATGTAATATACATAATATATAACTATATATATATATATATGTGTTTTCAGAATTGGTAGTGCGTGTCAAGGATATCCAAAAAGCATGCAACAACATATTCTATTCACTCTAAACACCCCTTGAAAGGGCATGAACATGGATGAATAATAGTTTCTTCTTTGAGGAAAGATGGTCATGCTTCAATAGGACAACCGCTAGCGGGGTATGCCGCTTAGGCACTTCATGGGCACGCACTCTTGTGACACATCCTGATCGCATTTCGCCCATGTGGGAGGCGCTGTTCAGTCAGCCTTCCCCTCCTCCATTTAAGTCATGCATTTTGCATGACTTGGATAAATACGGCATTTCTCTAGACTATTTGAGTTAATATGATATAATTATGCTGTAGATGCGGCATTCATGGTTTGCTTGGCAGAACACCAACTGAAAGACGCGAGGTTTACTCCGTTTCCCCACCACTTGTGGTCCTCCAGCAGCTGTTTTGGGTCCGAAGAGGCAGGTATCAAACGAACCTGTCACAGGACACGGTGATGAAGTGTCACCTTTCTCCCATCACCGTCTCATGGACCAATCGTAACCTCGAAACCAACACCCAGAAGCTTGGAAGTGAACTCATATCTTCCCGGAATACACATCTCTACACCGTTCTGAACGAATAGGACACCAGAACCAAAAAATGGGCGAGCTTTTCACTGTGAACTTTGATCTTTTTTCGGGGAACCCGGGGGAAGAGGGTGGCCTTGCACTCCGTGAAGGAGTGCCAACCAAAGACCCCATGTCCAACCCCTTGATGGACCGGAAGACACCTGCTTCACCTTGGAACACACATGTTCCATTGGTAATGCTAGCATCTACAGCTCACAGTGGACCCACAAGAAACCGATAAAGGTGTGTCTTCATCACCAGGGCTGAAAAAATCATGCTGATCCACCTGCACGGTAGATCAGCTTGCCACCTTCCACTATATAGACTATGAAACCCAGGAAGCACAAGTCTTTGAAGCTCCAGATGAACCCAGGTGTTTTCGATTGTGGCTCCAACGTGAAACCGGATCCAATTTTGCCCATGTCCATCCATGTTCATGTTCGTTCAAGTTCATCATCTTCATCCAGCACACCGCTCCAAGTGGTTCACTTGAGGAGTCTCAGCAGTCTAAGCTCTAAACCCTCCAGACCGTCCCATGAGAGGTCCCCTTGCTGCGTGGGCTTTCCTCTTTGCGGCTCGGAACTGATGCAGTGTTTTGTGACTTGGACGATTTGGAGGAGCCGTGAGGGGCTGAGGTGAGGAAGTGAGTTGTGTTTGTTGCGCACGTGTAGAATGGATAGCAGACTAATGAATTGGGGTGGATGATGAATGGATGGGAATAATTGGGGTGGATGATGAATGGATGGGAATGATATAGATTGATGATAGATGATAGATGAGGTTCAGGTCGACCCTGAGTTTGATCTAACGGCCTCTCAACTTGAGGTTCAGGTCCGGAGCCAAGGGAGGTCCCATTGATGCAGGATTGGCTTCAGGTCGTGGGTCTTCAGGCACTCACTTTCCCCCAAGACATACCTGCAACATCTTGGAACCTTGGATGGACCGAACTGGGAAGGCAAATTTCGGTTATCCAGCGGAATGTGCAGGTTACTAAAACGAGTCTTTGGCCCCATTGGCGCCTCTCTGGCGCTCGCTGTCGACCTGGATCGCTGTCGGATTCTCACTGATCCCATGCGACGAGGGGCGGATGGTCCGAAGGATTTCCCTCAACATCGACCAATCATGACCAATCCAACATCTGGGACACTTGAGAGCCAGAAGCATCGCCGCCATCGTGGAACTCTAATCGTAGCCTGACGTCACACCGTGGAAATCTGGTCACACCGTGTGGCACCCTGAAAATTGATCATTCATGATCATTGTAGCCTAGAAGTTGAGCAAGGCCCAAGGCCATACTTTGAATCTTTGTTCATGAGAATTGTCCTTTTATCATGAGAATTGTCCTTTTTCCTCTGTGAAAGTAAGAGTTTGGGTATTGTTGATCAACTTGGAGTAAAGGTTCATAGTCTTTCAGCGTCCCAGACCCTTTGGAACCGGGTCTCTAAGGCCGAGTGTATTCATCATCGCCCCATGCGTCAGTCCACATTTCCCCAGATCCGCTCGTTTCGTTTGGAGCGCAACAGGTGAAGTCTTGCTGGGGTGATGAGGTTCAGCATGTCTATCTCTCGCAGGCGAGAACCCTGGTGGAAGACACAGAACCCTGGTACCTCACCTTGGAAGATCCCCAGCGTAGAGGTTGAAAACGCCTTCTCATACATGAAGCAGCGTAGACTTCCGGGCAAGTATGAACATTTTGAACGATCAAAGAAACAAAAGTGAGACCCCCGATTACATATAAAGTGCCTTCAACATGTTCGATGATTATGGTTGCATAAGAGCATCGCGTTGATGTGTGAGCATGCTCCAAACCCTACCAAATCATAGGGCCATAGGGCACTCACAAAAAACAATGCCCTTTAACAAGGTTCCGAAACAGTGGAAAACCATTGGGGATTCACAAATCCGAGGATGCAACAGCCACATGTGTGGCTGCACATAAGTACATTTCGACCACACCTCATATACTGGAATAAAACAAACATTACATTTGTAGCTCCACGCCCCAAACGAACCCTGACATCGACCTCGAAACCTGACATCGACCTCCAAGTCCCCTGAGTCAGGTTTGACCCCTGGGGCAGGGAGGGGAACAGATTCGAGTATCAACCGGTTATTCGGGTTCGGTTTGGAAGGTGGGATTGATAGAGTAGGTAGAGCTGCAGATTCTCGGCTGTTCGTAGCAGTTTGACGGTAGGGAGCCTCTGGCAGGACCCTCAGAGGAGTGACCTTAAATTAAGTGCACCTTCTGGGAGGACCCTCTTGCGGCCGTTCAGTGCGGCAATTCTGATGTCCCGGACGAACGGCTGCACCGAACGAGAGGCGGATGACTGGTTCTTACGCCTCATGGAGCCGTCTACTGAAAGCCTCTTGGTCGGATGCCACTGTCCAAGTGCACGGCCACGATGATATGATGCTTCAATGACGTGACGGTGATCATGACGATGACAATGATAATGACGACGATGATCATGACGATGACGATGATGATTCGATGATGGTGATGGTGATGGTGATGATGATGAGAAAGGATTATGATATTGATATATATATATATTACGATTCCAATGAGTATAAGTATATATTGTTGTTGCTGCTGCTGTTGTTCTTGTAGTTGGTAGAAACAGCAACACTTTGTCCGTGCTGGCCTTTAAACCGATGTCCGCACGCCAACTCCTGCGCTCAGAAAACCTTTGCCCGGAGTTCCTCAAGGGAGTCTGGTGGATGAAGGACGTGGGAGTCCCACGTGGACCGGGAGGACGGGAGGAAGGAAGGGTGGGATGGGTGTGGAGGAGGGAGATCAGATGAGATCAACGAAACGAAACAACCAAAGTTGGAGATGAAGCTGAAGGGGAAAATGCGGGCGTTCCATGTAAGGATCGCAAGAATGTGAAAATAGCAGTATAGCAATAGGTATATAATTGAGGTATTATGAACTGACCAGCTTGCACCTGCAGATGGGCAGATGGTGGACATGGCTTGCAAACTGTCAGGAAGGTGATTGTGATGTCGCCGTTTGTGACTGCAGCGATTCCAACGGTTGCCGTGACTTCGTGCGAGGACAACGTGGCCAATGAGACCGTGATGTCCATGGAGTCAGGTTTTTGGGGGTACCCGCCCAGCATGGACTCAGGTGGGAAGGGGGGGAAGGATTGGGAAGATGGGCAGAGACCACAAGAGGAGTGTGTTTGGTTGGATCTGAAATGTTTGAACTGAAGGGACGTTCCCTTCATTTCACGATGAAATTGGAACTGCGGGACATGATTTGGATTCTCACAAGATTGAAGACACATGTTTGAACTGAGATCCACAAGATCCAAACTGCCGGCTTCTCTAGTACCAACCGGCCTGAGGATTTGTCATTCAAAACGGACGAGAAAAATACGACCCCTCGTCCGATAGCATGTAGACACCCCACCCGCCACCCATCACCAGTTCCAAAACAAATAGGAACCGTGCGTGATTGAAACCATCTCCCGAAAGGTTGGTCAATTGGAACAAAAACAAGAGCCCAATCTTAAGGTCTTGAAACATCTGGTTGATCTTTGCTTGATTTTATGTTTTAATGGAGGACTTGCCACATCCCTGCACCTTTTGGGGGACTTCAACACTTCTTCCAAAGTCCATCCCGGCAACTCCGCAGGGGAGGACAATATGTCAATGTTATTTGCACTTTTGTTTTTTTTGCGTGGGGGAACATGTGCCCCAGGTGTAAGAAGCCCGTATACGACCACCATGGGCCAAGTGCTGATCAGCTCCTCCCGATGAGGTTTGCCGGTCGGGTTGAAGCATGCCTACCGGAGCCTTGGTCGCCCGGAGCCTTGCTGGGTGATTGGCCAAAACTCAGGATGCATCCAAAGGCTCTTCACGTCAGAGAGACACCAGTTCTCAGCCATCCTTGGATCGAAGCCTTACACAGGTTCTTCATGGCGAAGCCTCTGGTGTTTGATTGAATCCTTGATCCTGGGTTTGGCAAGGCAAAGACAGCACTTGCCCATCATGGTCTGTGGTCCACTGTTGGCGAACAAATCCTGCAGAAATCTTGAAAAGTGCTTCAAATTTTGGAACGACACGGTCTTTGGCCTCAAATGCCTGCAAGGGACACTGACGCGGACGGGAAAGGAACTCCAGATCCCCTGGAAACTGCAAACGCTTGGCTTTGTTGCTGATCCTCCAAGTACATGGCCAATCCATCCTTCCAAAAGAGGCTTCTCGTTGTTCTCCAAACCTTTATTCAGAACAAGTTCTCTTCCGCGTTTCGTGCTTGAAGACTCTCATGAATTGGAACTATATGGGCGTATGTAATTCATAGGGAGACATCCAACCACTGCCAGGACCTTCCCAGTGGCCGTCCTTGACATCCCAGTGGCCGAGGCCACGAAACGGCCTTGATTTCAGGTCACGTCTACCAATCCTGAAGAGGTCACTGAGAAGGTCCTGGTATGTTAAGAACATGGATGTCGATTTATGAATTGTACCAATTGTACCCCATTATACTCCAATGGTTTTTGGGGTTGTTTGAGGTGTCCACATTACAGGAGCTTGAGGGGAGGTCTCCCTATTTACGGACGTGGGGCCGATCATGGACATGGCCAATCCACACCAGGGCTCCGCTGGCTCTCCAGGTGCCCGCCCAACTCTCCCAACTCGCTCAAGTCATAGGTCAACAAGCGCGGGTTTCCAGGGGTCCCACGTCGACATCTCCAGGAATTGGACCACAGGGTCGAGCTTCTGGGGGTCAATCATGCTGACGCTGAAGGCGTGAGGGCGACGCCCTCCGTGCGCCCAACGATTGGTTTATTAGGTGGCGGGTGCTCGGTGGGTCGACGCGACGTGCCCAATGGGTCGGTGGGTCACCGGGACGACAGGTGGAGTTTGGAGGAACCGAAGTAGGACTGGAAGAGCCGTGGGCGCCACGATTCCGCCGATGTGGACACGACACGGAGGCACCGTGGTTCAGCCGTCCTTTCCAGCCGAGGTCCACGTGTTCTCAAGACTTTCTGTTCTGGGACTTTGGAACTCCTACAAGGTCCTTGTGGAGTGCTCCTTGTTGCCATGTAAGGACCTGTAAGGATGTTCTTTCAGAGCTGTCTCAGGGAATAACCATGGCCTGCAGTCAGTCATTGTATGGGGAGGGCGTGTCTCGATCCAGTTCACACATGTTACACATGTTCACACATTCACACATGTTCAACTCCATCCATCCATCCATCCATCCATCCATCCAGCCAGGTCTCTTCTTTTGATTCTTCCTGTAGATGGAGAAGAATCGGACATAGCAAAGCTATGCAAAACTTGTGTTTGTGGCTTTAGTGTTCGAAAAGCAAGAGATGGTCGTGATTTCGAGACATTCAGTCATTCAGATATCAGTATTTGGCGTTTCGGGTGAACATCACCCGATGTTGAGGCAGAACCCATGGAACCTTTGTTTTGATTTGTTTTGGAGCATGACCGAGGACCAAACCAAGAAAAGAAACATTGCACTTTCCAATATGACAACTGTTGGCATTCTCCAGCATCGGTGATGCATGTGTTTGGCCGGTCGTTTTTCCGCCTCGCAGGGAATGCTGTGGCCCACGTTTCAGATTGATCCAGACATGAAATGGATGTCAACCAGCAAGGATGACTATATCTACATCCTTGATGCTTCTCCGCATCTTTGCAGGCTTCATCCCTGGTCGTTTTCAGGTCCTCCAATCGTCCATCTCTTGGACTCCGGTGGTCTTCAGCGTCCTACGCTTGCGAGAACGAAGCGACGTTCACGTAAACCACGCGCAAGAAACCAACGTGAAGCGGCAAAGCAAGAGATGTGGGTAACAAATCAAGTTCATGTGCACTGGGACACGTTCCACGTTTTTTTCTTGTTCTCGCACCGAACTCCATCAATCTTGTGGTCATCTTTTGTTACTTTCAGATTTTGTGGGTAAAAAGTAAAAACCTACTTGTATAAACTGTACGTTGTTTTCAATGCTTCGAAGCCCGTCACTGAGGATGAAAATGACAAGCTGGTGGATCCGCAGGGAAATCCTGTACCTTTCACCCCAGGACGGAGCTTTCACACGTGAAACCCAGCAATCCATCGACCAATGGGAAGGAACTTGTTGGTTTTGCGGTTGCATTGGTAGCCCTTGTAGCACCCAGCAATCCTTTCAGTGGTTCAGTGCTTTGTTCATCTTCGAACAGCGGTTCGTGTTGAATTCGCGAACTCAACAGCGGTTCGTCCTGTTCCGCGCGTGACAAACCGGTGGGTTCTGAACATGAGAAGTCTTGCTCTTAGTAGGAAAGGCCCTTCTTACTAGTAGCGATGCCCTTGATACTAGTAGCTTCTTGCTAGTAGCGATGCCACCCTAGTAGCAAGGCCCTTGTTACTAGTAGCGATGCCCTTGTTACTAGTAGCTTCTTGCTCCTAGTAGCAACGCTCTTGTCACTAGTAGCGAAGTCCTTGTTACTAGTAGCTCCGCTTCGAATAGATCGGATCGAGGAGCTGACTTGCTGCGTATCTCCTGGGTCGAAGGGAAACCTGAGAAGGGCATCTACTACCAGTACATCTTGAGCTTTGGCTTGGAGGGTTGGAGGATTTCTCGTTCTTTGGACTTTCCGTCTGAAGAACTGCCAGGGTTGATTCGCCTCTGTGTCGCCTCCATTCGCTTCGATCTTCAACAGTCTCCCCCCAGGTTGACATCCCTTGCCTTCCAGCCCCGAAGGTCGTGTGCCTCCAATCCCCAACAACTTGGGGGTCGTTCTGGCCGGGTTTGGGCGGACATCGTGCTGGATAGAATAGGCTCCTCCCTGATAGGTCCTTTTTAAAGTATTTCTTAGACCGCTGTTATTTCCACCAGAAGATCATGTCATGTATCCTCACGAAAGCGCTTTTGACCCTTGGAACATTTTGGAACCATACGGTTCCATATGAATTGTTTACAATGTGGAGCCAGAGGATCCACCCAAAGCTCATCAAACAATGTCAAATTTGGTAGTTTCTACCAGGAGCATCCAAGTGGTGCTGAGAAGCAAATTTCACTAGTGTAATGTAGAGAGTGTATATAGAGTACTAGTAGATCATTTGACACCCTCCTTGGATGGTCCTGGTAGTTTCTATCCAATCATCGGAAGATTCTCGCAATGAGCGGTTTTTGGATGTTCTTTGAATCAGAGCACCCTGTATCCTCGGGCTTTTCCTCGCTTCTTTCTCCCTACTCCACCTCCGGCTGGACGGGTGTTCGTCGTTTTGGCCACCGTGCCGACCGTCGTTCCGACCGTTTTTGGTTTTCACCCTGGGCGGACTCCGTTTCCACCCAGGAAGCGGGTGGCAATGAAAGATGAGAATGGTCAACTGGTGAAGCTGCCAGGATATCAGGAACTCCTTGACCGAGCGACGCTTCGCTTCAAAAAACGGTTTGAGTAGCTCTGTGCTATGGAACAACCACCGATCTCAGGATCCAGGAAGGGCAACCCCTGACCTATCATCCACCCGAAATATTTGTTTAATACTGGACAGTCTTCGAGACATTGCTTGGCTAACGGCTGGTTCCCGTGCACAATTGTGGTCAAACATGTTGGTAGAAAAAGCAGGCTTTCATGTGCCAGCACCACGGATTTCGGGCTTGTTGGATGGAAAATACCGGATTTCGTCCCATAAACCACCCGAACTTCTTTCGGATTCGATGAGACCGACCCCTTCGCTGCAGGATTAAGCATGAAATAGATTGAAATAGCATGAAAAATAAACCCTCGATTGATATCGTCCCATCCGATAGCTACCCAGTCAGTGGATAACCTTTAACTTTAAGGATTGTTTTCCCGCAAATCACCCCGACGCTTCCGATTTTGGACCTTTTGCGTTCAAAAGAACGCGCTTCGCCAACGGGTCCAAGATGGTCCAAGGACGCGACCGGCGCCCAGTGGATGTTGCTGCAACCTCTTTTTGTGCAACATCAGTGATGCCGCCTGCCTCGGCTGTGATTGTTTCTTTCTTTTGATGGGAATGTGTTTTGCATGTGGTTTCATGCCTCAAGGACTCAATGACTCTCAATTATTTTTGTGCCCAACGGTTGTTGGTTCCTTGGTACGAAAGGGTTTGATGCCAAGAGTTCTATGCCTGTTTTTACCGTCCCACGTCACCAATGGATTGAAGATTCTAGAGCCTGACAATCAATGTTATTTGATGTGTACATGGATGTGCAGGGGGTTGATAGTTTTCACAAATGTTCCTTGATTTGCGTGGTGAGGGTATCGGCTACGCAAATATAGATCTACATGGCATAACAAGAACGCGGGACTGACTGGTGTTGGCAATTAATTGGTCTATATTCAATATATTCTTGTAGCACATTATCATCTTACTACAGTATAATATATGACTATGACATGACTATGACTAGTATATATATATACTTCTGTGTGCTTTGTCAGAGGTGTACTGGGGGCGACCGGGTTGAGCGGCGAAGGACCAGTATGGTGAGATCTACGATGCGCTGGACGACCATCAGCTTCTGGTTCGATCGAGATGGGTGTGTATTCAAATAGGGAGACCTGTCGTGATGGCCCCCCTTGAATCAGGAAAATAGACTAGTCTAGCCGTCTAGCCATTGCTTGGGTGTTTTTTTCTCCCTATGAACATATACACCCAGATGATCAAGGTTTTTGTTGATGCTCTTTTCTTGGCGGCTTCTTTTGATGCTTCTTCCCGAAGAAATACGATCTCAGGGCAGGGTTGGTGGCAGTTGCGAATGATCTCCCAAAAGCACAGTGTTTGACAATCAGCCCCCTTCTATGATGCTTACAACTTGCTTGTGTCAGGGTTTGTGCCATTTTTGGCTGGAAGAGACTAAGAGACCCTGCACTTCAAACACTCCAGTTGCGCCGAGCTACCGCCAAGCTCCCACCCGTCTTCCGAGGCAGCTCGTTCCCGCTCGAGCCAAGGCTGCTGGTGCCGGGCCCCCAAGTGAACCCTGCAAGGACCTCTCAATGGACCGCGGCCAGCGGCATCCCAGCTCCCTGGCCGCACGGGAGTGTTTGGGAGCGGCTCAGGAGTGGAGTTGGTGTGGTTTGGAGCCTGGTGTGGGTGAGGGAAGGAGGATGGGCTGGAAATAGCCTCAGCGGCCTCCAAAGGATCTCCAGTTTAGAGAACCTTTCAAAGAACCTGTGTGAACACAACGCTTGCATACTCGGTGAAATGAAGGTAACACAGCTTGGAGAAGCCAGGACAGCGAGGATTGGTGAGTTGTAATGTTTCCACTGCCAGACCTTTGTCCCGTTGTTTTCACTCAACTCCAGCCTGATTTAATCAAGACCCCGACAACTGGTGGTTTAATCCCCACCCCACTCCCCATCCAAAGCTGGTGGTAAGGGAGAGAACAGCGTCATCGAGCCGCTCTTGTGAGACGGGGCCTCTGCGGCTGTGCCAAGACTGTGCGTCGATGCCAAAGATGTTTCTATCGAGCAGCCCATCAAGACATGAGAATGACATGGACCAATGGAGGGTGTGATGTTGACCATGCCCTTCGCTGCATGTTGACGATGTCGAGCCAACCACAGTTTTAAGTTGGCACGGGTTTCTCGAGGCACAAAGCCCAAGGAGCCACGTTTCCTGTGGCGATCTTGTGAATTAGCACTTCTGGCTGGTTGTGCCATGTGCACAAGCGGCCTATCTAATATGAATATATGGAAACCACAAGAACGGTGGCTCCGCCGGAGAAACCATGGGTAGAGAGAAATCCGACACCGGATGCTTCAGAGAGATCCGGTGCCGGCGCATGTGACCCGCGTGTGACGCCGAAGGGCAGTCGGATGAATGGGCGAAAGGAAGAAGCGCATGCGCCGTCGTGGGGGAAATGGGTGTATCAACAGTGATACAGGGTTTTGAAATGTGATATCACCCTCGGATTCAACAATTAGCGACATGGACAACAAAAGGTGGTTATAAGGTTTAGCAGGTATATAATATATATATATATATCGATCGTATCCGATATCCCATCGTTTTTGCACATGTGACACGGGCATCAGGAACGGGGTGTCTTCTTGTATTGCTGACGTGGAGTTGCCAAACAGCTGGAGGCTACAAAGAAGTATACATGCAGGCGTTCCCACCAACATTGGAATTCACCTAGTTGACGCCCCAAATACTATATGCGTTGACACTGTTTTGGGTGTCTATGCTGGTAATAGTTGGTTCGATCTTCGGCAGGCACTGATCTTCACTTCATTAAGAGTGACTCTAAGTGACTCTGTTGGTATCAGTGACTCATCTCGGTTTCAGGACAATGCATGCAAGTCTCCGAGAGCAGCGAACTGCTACAGCCGCGGCTCCTTGGACCGGCGGTCGCGACCGGTGTCGAGACGCTCATGGGTGGACTGGCTGTCCAGGGTACATTGACCAAACACATCAGAGAAGAAAAGGGACCATCCAATGAGATATATCATGAAATATACCAATTCATGACAATTCATAGATCATCATAGATACTATGTTTATGGATGTTCATTGGATCATGCGATTTGCATAAGCAAAAAAGTCAGTTCCATGGAAAGTGTAATGTCATGTTTTTTGTTTGTTGTTGTTGTTGCTGTCGTTGTTGCGGATCAAAATAGGTTCACACAGAGACAACACAGATTCTGGCTAAGCCGCATTCCGAAGAGATACTGGCCGGGTGTATATAATTGATTGAAACCAGCCATACGACTGGAAATACCGAAACCATTTTTGAAGATTGAACCTGTGTGATGAACTTCATGAAGGCATAGAAGGAACCTACCTGAGTTGCTGGGACAGTTGGAGGACAAACTTGTCATAAACACGGACACGGCAGTGTGCACATCCTACTAGATCCTACAGAGAATTAACAGAGTATTTGTTAAATAAATGTATAGGTGCCAGTATATACCAGTGTGATTAGTGACCCGCCAATGCGAACCACCTCTTTTGGCGATCGCAACCTATACTTTGTGTGGGGTCAAACTCGAACTATAACTTTATACACGTCTCCAACCTGGTGGCCCTTTGCCGTGCTCGAGATGGGGTGAAGGCCCCCAGGCATCCGCATACAGGACTCATGAATGGATATGCCAAGATATGCCAAGATGATATTTTTTTTACCTCATATATGTCAGACGTTATATGCTAACTGGTAAGTGAATACGCACATTCCAACGCAAGAAACCGCAACAGAACTGCAGGGCATCTCACCCATATTTTACCATCTCTCACACTCCACGACAAATTACGAGTTCGCTCTCTCGTCTTGAGCGATTTCTGTGGGACGAGGTTTGTGGAGTCATTGGAGAAGAGACAAGTTCGACACGTCTTTGCCGGACACTTGGCAGCTGAGACGCCCCTCCTCCCTGACTATATAGTTTCAACCCCAAGGTTGTTTTGTGTTTTTTTTTACGCATCGTGAAAAGGTTTGGTTTGGGATAGGTGTAATGGAAGGTGTTTCGGGATCATAGAAGAGGGCTGAGGGCGCAACGAAAAATTGACTCCACGCGAATTCACTTCGTGAACCCAGCATTGCGCAATGATCAAAAACATGTTGTTGCTGGTTGATGGGCCGTCTACGCCTTTTTGCTTGGCCTCCGGCCTTTTGTGGGACCGAAGGAAGGGGCTGGAGAGAGTCTTTGATCAACTTCCGATTAGCTGAGATCAGCTGGGCGTGGTTTGGGGGGTTGAATGGATGTTCACTTGGTTTCATGTTTAACGGTTGTTCTTTTTCCACCTGCCAGGTGAGGGTGGTTGGATTTTATCAGAGCTTCTCCTCCTCTCCTCCTCGTCTTCCTCCTCCTCTCCGTCTCCGCCGCCTCCTCTCCGTTTCCTCCTCCTCCTCCTCCTCGCCAGCAAGTTGCAGCAAGTGGCAGATCACAGTGGGCACTGCTGGACCTCAACTGCAAGTGCGAGATCGCAGTGGGCACTGCCGGACCTCAACCGCAAACCACAAACACAATGAACTTTCTATTGCTGCTGTAGCGGGCACACGCAGAAGATGTTAACTTCAAACGGGACGAAGAGTGCCGAATGACCGCGCAGCTACAAGTTGGAAAGCACTTGGATCAGAGCCTGGCTGGCCACAAGATCTTTGAGCTTCTTTGCAATGCCTGTGAGCTTTTCTGTGCAAGAGATCTCAAACTTCAAGTGCCTGCGCTTGAAACGGGCCGTCCTGACCATCAACAAGGGAAGGAGAGCGGCATCAACCAGCAATTTAACTACCTGTGTATCACAGGGTAGCACTTGTGGATGCCAACTGGAGACCCTTGCGACACCGCAACGCGAACTCCCTCACACCGAGGACCTGCAAACCAATTCAAAAACCGCAAAGCCCACGACCATGGCAACATGCTTCTCACCATGGCATGAGCGCAAATGATTGAAATGCCATGGTGGGGATCACTTGAAGTCGAAGTAACTTTACATTGACCGCTTTTCAACGATCCCCATGTAGGCTACTCATGTAGGTCACATAGATGTATTTTATATGTAGCAACTTGTGGCATGGCACTCATGGAGCGTTTGGGATTGTAGTGGGTTCCGACCCGAGAGCCCATGAAGGGTACTGATCTTCGAATGCCACACGAGAAACCCTATGGGTCAAGATGTTCCAATTGTCTAGTTGGTGGACTTTCATGTTTTAAGAGCCCTTTGGTTGATTCCCACCCGCTTATTCAAACTTTTCAATTGTTCAGGTGCTCAGTGCTTGATATTTTTGTGCAATGTTCAGAAGGTTCACGAGCGCATCGCGACCCACACTCATGAAGCTTCCCCACACTGCGCAGACTGCGGGGGTAAAGGGGAGGGGTTCTCTGAATGCGGCACGTTTACAAAACAACTGCTTTCCAAGAGGAGCTGCCAGTGGCTCAGGATACGATTACACCTGCGTGATCACGAACACCGAGCAACTTGGGCCGAGCAACTTGTGCTGTGCCGGTGGCTATGGGAGTCCTTTTGCTTGTTCGCACTAACAAACATACATAATTTATAAGGGCCCGAAGTAGATAGTGGCACGTCGTCCAATATGCATGTTTCGTGAGGATCGTAAGCTCTGCCACTCGGCCGAATGGATTCAAAAATAATGTTTCAGGTCAAGATCGTTTTCAAGTACTCAAACAACAACACAAACACAATGGATCTGATGCACAACTTGTAGGGCCTTCCCCACCAATTAGTTTGCTTGAGAGTCATTCTCCTTTCATCACTGTGTGACTTCGTACGACAGGGTTGCGGGTTAGCGCAGCCGATGCAAACATCATCCATTCCTTATTGCATTCAGACAAAACCATCCACACCAAGACCCAAACCGTCTAAAATTCCGGCCATTCCTCACTGACACCGCGGCGACCGGCTTTTGCGCCGCACTTTTTGGAGGCGACTCTTTGCTGCGGGGAACAACGATGGAAAGCTCTTGCGGGAGGAGGAGCGGAACGACCGGACTGCCGCTGGCGCCGAGCCGAGCGCGGGTCGGGGCCAGAGGCGACCTGACCATGGACCGAAGGCAACTCCTTGGGTTCGGTCCGAGGGTCCACCCGGACTGGGTCCAGTCACCTCAGCCTTTACATGGACCTTCAGTGTGCAAGGCCTTTGCAACCCTGAGCAGAGATAGAGTCCATTTTTTGGGGGGGGGAGGACATTGACCTTGAAACCTGCGCGGGTCTGTACCGCAAACCACACCCAGAACCCGGATCCGACTCCTTTTCAATCACCCTTCACCATCCTTCACCTGATTTCCCTAAACTCATCGGAACACCGTTGCGGTTCGAAGCGCCAGGACGGCAATTCTTCGGTTCCCCAGCTCACTTCCTTCGACGAGCCGCTGGGGACGGCGTGAGGGGTCAGGTGGTTTTAGAGACATGGCTTTGGCACCTCAAGATGTCTTAGACAGATGGGGGTCTATATCAAGTTCATCAACCACCTGCCTTAGAAATGGTGCCATCTACTTGGAAAGGTACTGTAATTAGTTGTGGGAGGGGTAATTATTGGTGGACATTAGAAGATGAGAAATTCATGTTTCACGAGGATGCAAATTCAATCAACTTCATCATATATAGGCCCGCTGTAGTTTGTTTTTTTCATTCACGCACATCATGAACTCTACCGTTGCTTGCTTCCCCAAAAGTTATTGGATCATATAAGATCATATAAGTCAATTTTTTGGTCAGGTATTTGGCTTAGAGTGAAATTCGCTTAAGATGTCACCTATTATTGTATAAAATTTGACATTGTGTCACTCTGTGCCACTCTGTGTCATCTGGTCACGCTCAGATGGATTCTTGGATGTTCTAGGGCCCTCCATGGCAGGGGAGAGCACCCGACACCGAAACGCAGGGGTCCGGACCCGAACCAAACCCGATGTGTGTTGCCTTGGGGCCCGGATTCGTACGGGAATGGAACTGGCATAGGACTGCCGAGAAACGGCCAGGGGTGCTGCCAGGGGTCAGCTGATTGGATGACAGACATGGAGTACTTGGGGATCTAGCCGTGGGTCAAGACCTGGAGCCCGTTTCACACTGGTAGGCTGACCTCCTGTAGGTCGCCTCGTCTTTTTTTCCAATTGAACACTGTGCAGTCTCGACTGGCACTAAAAGGCATTCTGCCCCTTGTCC